GAAAAGCTAAGTCAAGATGCTGTAAAATGGGAAACTTTTCAGCATCATTATCAATACTCAAAAAAAAAAAAAAAAAAAGGAGTTCAAAGCATAGCAGGCTTCAAGGCCTGCCACTCTTTTACCTAGCCTTCCCCCTTCTGGGGAATCTGTTGCCTTTTCTAAGGGTTTGCCATTGCATTTAAGGGCCACCTTCTTCCAGGATGATCTCATGTCAAGATCCCCTACCTTAGTGACATCTGTATAGACCCTAATCCAGGTGAGATCACTCTGAGGTCCTCCATGGGCATACGTATGGAGAATCATCATGTGATCACTATAGTAGCTGGGTAGTTTACCTGACAAGGCCAGGCCCCTTTTCATATTCATAACATAGAGACAAAATACCCTAAGGGCTTACTGAGATGCAAATAAAAGATGTAGCCAGCCCATTTGCCTGTTGTGGTATGAATGAGAAATGTGTGTTCCAGCACAGACACAGACACAGACACAGACACAGACACACAGACACACAGACACACACACACACACACACACACACACACACACACACACACACACTCGGTTCTATTCTTCCAGAGAACACTAAGATACTGTGTAAGCCTGAAAGTTCATAGTCAGGTGGGGTGTAATCCCAGTGCTGACCAGGTGGAGGCAGAAGGAACCCTGGGGTTTGCTGGCCAGACAGCTAGGTCAGAGAGCTCCAGGACCAGTGAGAGACCCTGTCTCAAATGCTGACTCCCCAGTCTCTCAGGATTGATGGGGCACAGTGACTCCTAGGGCCTGGCAGATGACATATGCAGGCTTCTTGAGAGGACATGGGGGGTGGCACTCTACAGAAATCCTGGCATAAACCTCATCTGGTATGGCCCCAGAGCAGCAACAATGAGGAGGGGCCTGAGGGCATGGACCTCAAAGAGGTGGAGAGCTATGGAGGGTCTAGGGCAGGGAACAAGGGACAGAGATCAAGATTCTTCTCCTGGTCAGGAGCACAAGTCCCAACTCCTGCCTGCCTGGGGACGGGCAAAGGGTGGAGGATGGGCAGGGATCTTGTCCTGACTGCATCTCAATCTTCCATCCACCATGGGTAAAGCTGGAGCGACAAGCTGAACTTGGCAGATTTTCACTGTCCTGGGGGAAAACATGAGCACAGGAGTCAAGATAACTCCTGAATTTCAGAAAGCCTGTTCTGACACCTCAGTCTTAGTCATCACATGCCTCTCTGAAAAAACAGATGTTGTAATCAGTAACATGTAGAGAGCTTAGGGGTTTTATTTAATGAAGGCAAGGAACGGGACCAACAATGCCTGCTATTCCAAACTGTTGGAGAAGCCTACTTCACTATTTTATTAAAATTAATTTTTCTTGCCAGGCAGCTGTGATATACACCTTTAATCCCAGCACTGGGGGATAGGGATAGCAGGGCAGAGGCAAGCAGATCTCTGTGAGTTTAAGGCCAGCCTGGTCTATAGAACTAGTTCCAGGACAGCTAGTGCTACCCTGTCTCAAAAAAACAAAAATAAATGAATTTTTCTTTTCTATTATAATTTTTAAGGTTTTTTTTTTTTGTTTGTTTGGTTTTTTTTTTTTTGTTTTTTTTTTTTTTTTTTTTTTTTTTGGAGACAGGGTCTCACTATGTAGCCCTGGCTGTTCTGGAACTCACTATGTAGACCAGCCTAGCTTCAAACTCACAGAGATCTGTCTGCCTCTGCCTCTGCTTCCCCAAGTGCTGGGATTAAAGGTGTGTGCCACATATTTTTTTTTTTTTTTTTTTTTTTTTTTAATACAGGGTCTCACTAAATGGTCCAAGCAAGGCCTGGATCTTGATGTTCTCTTGACTTAGCCTCTGGAGAAGGGTGCTCCAGTGTTATCATCGAACCAGACAGCTCAGGGCCACTATTAATTAACAGAAGAGAAGACACCAATCCTTCCATTTCATTCTTCCTGCTTCTGTGTTACCTGAGTGTTCGTGGATTCTAATTGCATTAAGTGGATTGGAAATTCCAGCCACAGAGCATTGATATCTGTCAGGGTTTAAAAAAAAAAAAAATTCTAAGAGGCTAAACGCCTCTTCCTCTTTAGACTGAAGCTTCCTCCTATGTGAAGACAAAAGATTTAATTACAACCTGGAGCGGCTGCATGCCACAGGTCCCACACACTGCCTTTAAAACAAACAAACAAACAAACACCTTATGCTCTGTTTAGTTTTTGGTTTCTCCTAGCTTTTCAGATGATTAAGGAATCCACAGTCATGGAGAAAATTCAAACAGAATAGACAAACGGAGGGCAAAGAAAACACCAACCCCCCACTCCCCACTTCCTCCCACCCCACCCCAGCCTAAACCATGCTCCTGAAGGCTCAGGTTGGTGACCATCTCCACTCCTCATGCATGAAGTGCCAGGCCTGGCTTTGGGTGAAGAGGTTGGGAGGGAATACGCTGGGGACAGGAAAATCACCAAGAAGTGAAGTCCTTGAGGCCATTCTCCCTGTGCCGCCCTCCAGTTGGTGACGTAGACAACCTGTAAGATGTGACTGCAGCATTGGTTGCCCTGCAAGCTTGCTCAAAACAAAGTAGGGTCAACCATCCAAATGTTTTGTGTGTGCATTTAACCGGGTGCACTGAAGGCCATCACGTGGACTCGATCTTAGCTTGGGTACCACACACACTTTTTGGACTGAGGGGAAACATTTATCATGGCTCCACTTAATTCAGGCACCTAGCTAACTTCCAAGACTTCCTTTGCTGAGTTACCTGCTTTTCCAGACTTAACACATGCCACCTACTCTTAAGTCACCTGCTCTTGGTTAGCTATAGGTAACCCCTCCGCTGGGGTTACCATAGTAACATAATAGTGTTTGCTCCAATCATCTTCCCCCACACCTCAGTCAATCACTACCCCTAAACACTGCACTAGGGCAGGGAGGTGAAACTAGCTCTCCTGTCTCCACAAGACTGGAGGCTCGTGAATAAAGTCATCGTTCTTACACATTGATTTTGGTGATTGGCATGTGATGTGGAAACCAAAGAGCCTTATTCAGTACCAGTTTATGTCATTGTTCTGCGTCCATGAAGGATCTGAATGCAGACCATCACTGAAAAGAAAAACTCGTCAGTCCTCTCTACAGTCGTTTGCCACCTGGACAACAGAATGCTACTTACTGAGTCAGAATATACACAGTCCTCCGCTGGAAATGGTTTGTTGTGATTCCTGATTTTTACGCCTTGTATCTGTAGATACAGATTTAGAGTGAATTCTAAAATCGAGCAGCCCTGGGTTTGAATGGCTTTCTATGTGGCCTTGGAAAACGCAGGTAATAGGGCTGAGAAGATGGCTCAATAGGAAAGTGTTTGCCATATAGGTGAATTCAACCCCCAGGACCTACGGGGTGGGGGGTGGAGCTAGGAACGGTGGTACACACCTGTAACCTAGTGCTAGGGAGATGGGAAAATTCCTGTAGCTTGCTGGCTGACCAGTGCAACATAATCTGAAAGCTCTAGGTTCAGTGAGAGATCCTGTCTCAAAAAAATAAAGTGATCCAGGCTACAGAAAACCAGAGATAGCTGACCTGAACAAGGAGGAGCTAATGGACCCCCAGACTGATAGCTGGGAAACCAGCATTGGGCTGACTCAAACCCCCTGAAGATGGGTCTCAGTTAGAAGGCCTGGGCAATCTAAGGGACCTCTGACAGTGGAACCAGGATGTATCCCTGGTGCACAAAAGGACTTTGGGAGCACATTCCCCATGGAGGGATAACTGCCTTAACCTAGAGACAGGAGGGAGGGCCTAGTTCCTACTCCAAATGACTTGACAGATTTTGTTGATCCCTCCTGGACTGCATCACCCTCCCTGTGGAGTGTGTGTGGGGGAATGGGATGGAAGGGTGGTTGGGGGGCATGGGAGGAAGAAAGGGGGGAAGAGAGGGAGGGAGAACTGGGATCAATATGTAAAATAAGGAAACATTTTAAAAAACAACAAACAAAAATAGTGGTAACAAGAGCACCTGGCAATGACCTCCAGCTCTAACATATATGTACCCATACACTCGTGTACCACAGGCACATAAACACATACACACACATGCATACATACATACACAAAATGTGGATAACAATATAGGCTGCTGATTGGCTGAGCTGGGAGTTACATTCCTGTTTCCTGGATTTATCTTTGTGGCCAGGAAGGACAGATGGGCCCTGTAAGAAGTGAGGCACTTGGAACTTGTCCTCAAGATGTGCAAATCTGAGAATGAGGTGGGTCATTTTCTGGGGTCTTTGAATGTTAGGCAGACCAGAGTCTACATGAGAATGAAAAGCAAAGTTCTGGCTTGCAGCCTTCAGAAACAGGCTGATTCCTGCAGATTGGTCCCACAAGATTCTCAAACTCCAGTGAAGCCATCCTTCAGCTTAAGGGTTGGTTAACTGAATTAATACATGAGTCAGTCAACCAGCACTATCGAAGCCAGGGCAGCATCTACACTGAGCAGACTTTCCCACTGAGCTACACCTTTAGCTTGGTCTGTACTACTTCAAAATGAGATACTGGTTCCATGTGAGCTACAAAGCCGCACTTAACTGAGTCGGACTAGCCTAAGGGACCAACAAGTACAATTTTCTGCATTTTTCCCATTGGTGTCTTAACTAAGAGGTCCTTCTCTGCTTCTCTTCCTTTGCTTTTTGAGACAGGGCCTCACTCTATAACCTGGCTGGCCTGGAACCAGCTACCTAGACCAGGATCTCCCTGATCCTCCTGTCCCAAGTGCTGGAGTAGACTACAGGCATGCACCACAATGCCTGGCTCATGTTTTTGAGATAGGGTCTCTCTTTGTGACAAGAATGGCTTCAAACTCACGATTTCCTGCTTCAGCTTGAGTGCTGGGATTATGGTGAGCTACATGTCTTGCTGCATGAAATCCACAGCTGATGAGCAACTAAATTCCTGTTTAGTCTAGTTTTATATCAAAGGTCAGGATCTCAACAAATCAATTAAGCCAGCAGACCAGTGTTTACTATTTGACTTTACTCTATAAAAATACACAACTTAAATACATATGACACTCTGTATACAAGACATAAACAACTGGTAGATTTAACACTTTCAGTTACTTCAACAGAAAGCAAATATGTAAATTACCTTGTAAGAGCATTCACAGTCAAGGGGAAGATGTGCACAGCATAATCAGTGCATGGAGCTAACCCAAACTGCCCAGCTTTCCAGTAACAGTTCTCCCACCAAGAGCCTTTACCAGACAGCCGGGCACTACAGTGTGACAGACACAGCCACTGCCTGCCCACACAAGTGAACATGTTCGTCCTCCCCAGAGACAGCTAACGGTGCCATCAGTGTCCAAGGGGCACTAACCGTGTCTAAAACTGTTCTCAGCACCAGGGTGAGAGGGGTGAGCAGCTCCTTGCTTGTGAAGCCTGCAGTGGAAATTGCTTAGCTTGACTTTACAACTAAATTCATTTTCAAAAATTTCCCAAAAATGCTGGGGGACTTAGCTCCACAGACTGCAACGTGAGAAATATGCCATTCCAGACCAGGAAGAGGGCACTGTCATTGCCAAAGGCAATCCCTTCATCCTCCTGTTGACAGCTGTCACTCTGGGTGCAGTAGCCTCTTGCCCCTGGATCAGGGCTGGCAGGCACTCCTTGTTTTACTCCAATGAGCTTTCAGCTCACTGAACCAAGACACTGAACTAAGACAGAATTAGTTTGCAGGCATAAAGAAGTATTTACCACTTGAGATTTCAATCGGTGAGAACACACTAGAGCAAGTTTCCTGAGGTAAATATAAGCCTTAAAGAATGGTGAACAGTTTATAGAATGACAACAATTTTATCCTAAGCACCTGGACTCAAGTTAACAGGCTGGTAAAAGCAAGGACACATTTAAATGGAGAAATAAAGTGGCAGTGCTTAAGTAAGAGATGCTGACAGAGGACAGCCGTTCACAGGGAGGCACAGGAGAGGACATCTCTGACACAAAGGGGCTATGTTTTAAAGTGCTTGAGATGGCTGGAAGAGTGACTCTGAAATGCCTCCATGGATTACCAACAAACTGAAGAAGTGACACTTGCGGATAACTCAGATGTAGAAGGCATGGCTTTTCTTCAATCCCTTTTTGGGGGGAGCAAGGTCCTTTATAAAGTTTTAGCCACTGGGTGAAGAGTTTTAAAGAGTGTGAAGGACAAAGCACACACCTGTGCCAAGAAGCTAAGTGAATGCCGAGGGCTTTAAGGGGTTTTGAGATGGTAAGGTTCATTTCCAGGCAGGCTTTGATGGTTCTAAAACCCTGCTGATGGGATTATGGAAATGAGAAAAGCCCTGGGGCCCTGGGGTTCAACCGCTTCAGTTTATCGAGATTACATATATGAAGTAGTATACAGCCACCCTAATGTTAACGAGTAAGGTCTTAGAAACAGATCTAAGATCAAGCCCAGGCTACGTTTTAGCAAGCCACTCTGAGGGAGGGATCCCAATGGGCACTGAAGTGTCCTGCTATACTGCAATCTGCCCAAGCTGCTGAACGAAGTGTCTTTAAGAACCATGGCAAAGACTGGGTCCCACACTTGGGCTGACAGCACCAAGAATAACCCTCATCCAAAGGACTCCCACCTTCTGTTCCAAAAGCAGTGGGATAGTGGGGTACATCAGGCATGAGGGAAGCCTCAAACAGAACTGAGGCCCATGAAAAGCTGGAGGTGGAGTTCTATTACTAGTTCAGTGGCCAGAGGAGATCATCAAGCCACATATCAAATCTCCTTATCTTTTTTACACAGATCTGAATTCATGAAAGGCAGCATCTGTAAGTCACACCATGCAAAGTGAGGCTACTATGGTGGAAGGAAATAATCCACAAGACTGTGGAGGCTTGGATTGTAACACAGGGGCTTGTCTTCTTAGATAAGAGAGATGTTATCCAGCAACCATCCTGGGGTAGGTGTTTAAAAGTCATAGCCTAGTAACATTTGTATAGACTTCAAAGCTCTAGTTAGCACAGGTGGCTAAAGCTAAAAATATGAGTAATTCAGCTAAGCGCTAAGAGACATGAGTCAAGCAATGAGCCAGCTCCCCTAAGAGTTGTAATAAACACAGCGCCAGTGCTCCATCCAGCGCTGTGTACCAGGCAGGGACAACAGAATGAAGAATGCTTCTCTATGCGAAATGACTTTTCTTACTTGTTGTTTAAAAATTCTCTTCAGAAATTTGGAGCCCAAGCACAAACTGTAGAGGTTCTGCCCTACACAGGCCCAAGATGTCGCACGGTGCCCCCAACAGATCACACTTATTTCCAGTCAGCTGAGCCTAGGGCAATGCTAGGGATTCAAGAAGATAGGAAATGGCGGATGTGGGCATAACAATAGAGTAGTGCAAGAGGAGAAAGAGATTAACACCGGTGCTGAAGAAAGAGACCTGCTTGTGGGAAAGTACCTGCCTGTCTCTCCTGCCATCTGTGGTAAGGAATGAGGAGAGGGATACATTTTATGCAAGACTCCTCCTAGTGCCCAACACACCCAGTTCAGCTGGCCCTTTCCCTCTGTGTGGTGTGGCTGGATGCACACTCCCAAGCAATCTACAGCATGTCTTCTAAGTGCTTCTGTCTTGGCCTCTGGTCCCTCACTCCCAGAGGCACAGCACTCCTTGCTGCTTGCTGACATCTAGTTCTAGGGTAGAGCAAAGACCTGGGATCCAGGGTGGGCTTCGGGGTCTCCAGCTCCTATGGGCACTGGCTCATCTCTCCTCCTGCTGGTTGAAGAAGGAACAGAGTGAAATGCCCTAAAAGGCAGGTCGACAGAACAATGTCACCTCACTTTACATTCTTCTACAAGGGTTCTTGTTTTTCCTTTTTTCTTTGAGAGTCTCAACATGTAATCCTGATGGCCTCGAACTCACAATCCTCCTGAGTGCTAGGATTACAGGCACGTGCCCCCATGCCTGACTCTAACTATTGGCTGATGGTTAAAATACTAGCCAAGAAGCAGGAATGTTAAGCTCCCAGGGGCTGGGTGCTGTCCACTTGCTTGTCATTCTCTTTCCTGATTTTATTCCCTTCTCTGATGATGGTACATGGATGGGTGCGTGGGGTGCACGGGAGGAGAGGCATGTCAAGGCAAAGTGTCCTGCTGGCCTCCCCTTCTCTGGAAGCCTCATGGATTTTCAGAAGTCAATGCCTAAGCGATGTTACAGTTATGAACACCGAGTTATCTGGCAATAAGAAATGCAGTGTGATGTGTAAGAGATGTGGGGCTCTCTCACACAAGAGCAGGGCATCTCACAGTAAAAGGCCCACAGCATGGTAACAGGCACCTACACTATTAGCTTACAAATGACAGCACATGACGGAACCGAACAGTGAGCATTTGTGAAGGAAAAATCCATGTTGGTTATTTCACTTCAAGTGCAGAGTCTGTTTGCACTTGAGCCCGCCTTTGCTTCCTCTGCTTTCTACTTGATGTTTCTCAGGAGGGCTGTCCGAGCATTCACAACTGCTTTGAAGGCATCTTCACTGCCAGGCGCTACACATTTGTCCGGGTGAAGCAGTACAGCCAGCTTCCGGTAGGCCTTATTGACTTCCTCCCTGCGAAAAGCAGCCGAGCTCTGTCAGTAACCAGGTTGGCCCCAAATCCTGCATCCCAGCTCTCTGGGTAAACTCTGCATCTCCCATGCAATTACCTCCTTTTCTCAAAGGTAAGACTAAAAGACCAGAAAATAACAAATAACAGGTCCTATATAGTAGAAAAATACAGTGTGAGTGACTCTAGAAGACAGTTCAAGAAAGGTCAGCCGCTACCAGGCAGCTCTAGACACTCAGAGACACAGAGTAAGCCTTCACTAACTGAGGGATGAGAGTCTGGGCATCAGGGAAAATCCCTCAGGAGAAGATTCTGGAAGATGAAGAACTTGTGATTAGCACAGGGTGGGGGACTCAGAGTACCAGGGAGGAACTGGCAGAGAGGCCTTCAAAGCAAAACAAGGAAAAACACTGCATTTGATTGACAGTAACAACAGCAGGCATTTTGTGGCTGGGGGGGGCACTGAGAAAGCTATTTCTATCATTGAGAGACAAGCACATTACCACAGCAGCCCAGGCCTGAGAGCGGCAGTTCAGGTGGAGGCGTCTGTGACAACAGCCAAGGGAAGAGAGTTTATACGACATGAAGCAAAAGCCACTGGAGCAGCTGACGTGCCCAACAGCCACAGAAGATACATGAGGAGATGCTGAGACACCCCCATGGTCCTGAGCGGCAGGGACTGGCTGGAGAAGACCCAGACTGCAGATTCCTATCCCATCTCCACTCCCAGTCATCCTTGGATGTCAGGCTCTGTTCCCACTGCATGGTCTTACTTCCCAAGCTTCCTTCTGTCACCACAGTCCCTGCAGTCCTGTCAGCATGGCATGGTGCCTTCACTCTTCTGTGTTTGTTGGAAGGACTTCTCATAATATCCCACCCCCAATTAAAGAGATGCCCTCTGCTGGCCTGGAGATGAAGTCAGGTGTCAATCTGGAGAGACTAAGCCCTGTGTCTTAGGCATACAGGCCAGCTTTTCCTGCAACTGGATGAGTCCTTCTGAACTTTCTGCTCTGGCTTTGCATATTATGATCTACATATGCAATATGTACTCTTTTTTATTCAGTGTGTTTGGGTGCCACGTGCCTGTGTGTGTGCATGTGTGATCATCGAGAGTCCAGAGGCCAATGCCAGCTGTCTTCTTCTATCATTCCCCTCCTTACTTTTTCATTCTGTAGACCAGGCTGGCCTCAAACTCACAGAGATCCACCTGCCTTTGCCTCCCAAGTTCTGGGATTAAAGGCGCGAGCCATCACCACCAGGTTCCCTCCTCACTTTTTAAGTCGGGTCTGTTAAGCCTCAACATGGCTGCTTTAGTTAGACTGGGTGACCAGTGAGCTCCAGGGAGTCACCTGTCTCTGCCCTCCCCAAACTACGACATACATATGCTGCCATGGCCAGCTTATATGTAGGTGCTGGGGTCCAAACTCATGCCTGTGTATCAAGCACTTTATCCACTGAGCCATCTTACCCAGCCCCTACACAAGCAGTCTTTGTATTAGTTATCAAAAGGCACTCCCCCTTCTTGGAAGAACTTCTCGGAGTACAGGATTCCCTCAATCTCCAAGATGGAGTATGGGGCAGGGCCAGCAGAGACATTGCTCTGGGGGGACATGTGTAGGTGGGCACTGAGTGCCTATCAAGATTTATAGGCACAGAAAGACTCTCACACCTGCTGGGGCAGGTGTGTGTGTTAGCAATCTTACAGACTGCAGGATTTCTTTAAAGTTCAAGAACTGTAAGCGTACTTGGCCCCAAACAAGGACCAGAATTCTCTAGGATGTAATACTCTAACATTCAAGGATGTGCCCCAAATGCGCCAATGTCATTTGATAGACACAGCTGTACAGATAAACTTGTGTCTATATGGGTTAAGTGAACAGCAATGACAGAGGCCTGGGATTTACCAGAGCTCTGGTAGGTTCTAGTAACCAAAGTGAATAAAGAAAAAGCTGAGCTTTTCTTCTTCTACAACCACCACACCCAGCTCTTCCTAAATATATCTTTAGAATAAAACAAGAAATTACATATATCCAATCACAGACAAGAACGGGCAGGGTTTATAAGAAAGGCAGTTGGGCAGAGAGACACCACTGTCTCCTGGAGACTCAATGATCACTCATATTCCACTAACACCAGTTTCCCCAATAAAATGGGAGCATGTTGAGAAATCTTTCTTCTTCTAAAATTCTGTGATTTAAGAATTATTTTTGTGAAGTTTCCTAAGGTTGTGTCATATTCTTGCTCAACAGTCAAAGGTGGGGCAAGACATTTCATCAAGTGTTTACGCAGAAACACGACATAGCTCGCTCGGCAGGCAGGCAATGTGCCTTCTGTTTCGTTTCTGTGTTGAGTTAGTGGGGCAGAGTCCTTAGGAAATTTATTGCTACACACCTTCAAGTTTCTAGCCAATTAGAAGGAGAAATATTGGGTAGCACTTTTGGCAACAGAGCCTCGAGCTCTTCCAGAACTCCGCACTAAGCTTCTTACCTTGAGGCCCCAGGTCTGACTCCCAGCATGTCCCAACTGTCCTTACTATTTCGAATTCTGCGAATGGTGTCTGCTTGTTCCTTGGTGAAACTAGCACTGTTATTTGCAGTAGGACGTTTCCCACCATTATCACACAAGTCAACTATGGACACGTAAAAGGTCTGTAGGAAGAAAACACATCCCAGAGAAGTGATTCTGTGAAATAAGAATTCCTTGCACACACTTCAGTAACTTTAAGAGCCCAGGGCCTTAGTGTTCTACCCAACTCCCTAACTACATATTTTTAAAACAAAAAAAAAGTATAAGCTAACTTAAAATTTAAGTTTAATTTTAAAATAAAAATGATTCATAATCCTACTCTCAGAGAAGCACATTTGAGGTTGGTAATAGATGAACTGTTAGAAAAATTCCAACAGTAAAATCTAAAAACTTTCTCCCTGATATATAGCCATCATTAACATATTTTAGGATCCCTATGGAAACATCTGCTACCAGCACATGTCACACACAAACACACAAACTTTTACATGAAAGATCTCAGATGCCGCACAATGCTTAGCAACTTCAGTTTCCCACATAACATATCTTGTGCAGGGCTGGTGATGCATACCTGTCATCCCAGCTACCTGGGAGGCTAAGGAAGGAGAAGCAGGAGTTCAAGATCTACCTGACCTCCAGAGTAAGTTCAAGACCAGCCTCATTAACTTAATGAGATACAGTCTTAAAACAAAAAGTAAAGAGAAGCCTTGGGACTAGCTCAGTGGAAGAGTGATTGCTTAGTGTGAGCACAGACCTGGGTTCAATCCTTAGATCTGCCTTGGAATGGCCCTACACTTACAGACCGTCTTTGCTCTCCAGTGCCTTCAGGATCCTAATATGTAGTTATACCACAATTTATTTCACTCCCTATTCCTGGACTAGCTGGTAGCTGGTTATTTTAAGTCTTTTGGTCACTGCAGACAATATTGAATCATTTTGTTTTTTATTTGCTTTTTTGAAACAGGGTCTCACACAGTCTAGGCAGGCCCTGAACTAGCTGCATAGCAGAGGGCGATACTGAACTCATGATCCTCATGATCCTCCTGTCTCGGCCTCTTAGTGCCATTACCACGTGTAGCCCGGTAGTGTGTATTCCTGGGTAAATTCAACCTGCAAGAACAAGTGCTCTTAACCTCTGAGCCGTCGCTCTAGCCCTCATTTCTGTAATTATAAATAGAGTAAGTCTCCTCTCTCCTCCCATCTCCTTCCTCCCCTCCTCTCTTGCTAGGTAAGTACAGTGCATTCCCAGTGTCTATAGCTACTTTTAATTGATGTATCTCCTCTTCCCTTAGTTTTTCTTAAAAATATCTTCCTCTCTTTCAGTTAGTTTCTCCAACAGCGCCTTTTATCTCCTTTTGTAAGTGCATCTTTGGGGCTGGAGAACTGGCTCAGTAGTTAAGTATGCACTACTCTTCCTGAGGACTGGGGTTTGGTTCCCAGCACCATGCTAGATGGCTCACAACTGCCTTTAACTGATGCCTCTGGCCGCCTCACAGCACATGCAAGCACACACATAATTAAAAATAAAATAAATCTTTAAAAATGTATTTCTCATTTCCAGTAACTGCAAACTTACTGGGAACCTAACAAGAAACCTTGACATCTGGAAAGAAAGAGCATCATGGGAAAAGTCACCAAATCAGGACCAAGGGGTGCTGGTTCACTATAGTGATCTTAGTATTACCCTGTGCTAGCAATATCAAATCAGACAAAAGCACCTTCCTCCTGGCACAAAGTCTCTATGAAGCAGGCAGGAAATAAAGAAAATGTTTATCAACTGAGTCACCAGGAAAGCACAGCTTCAGGCTTACCTACAGAACTGTGCTCATCTTGTCAGCCAAGCAAGAAAACAGACTCATTTTCCCAACATCTCTACCAAAAAAAAAGCACCAAGAAGGGCTCACAGTTCACAAATGTCACTAGGGTTAAGGCTGACATTTTCTGGTATTCTGGAATTAACTTGACATAAAAATAGACACATTCTGTGGGCATGGGTAGTTATTAGAACATGTGGTGATAGAAGACCAGCCATAATCTTCACAGGAGGAGTAAGGTCAAAACAGTAAATCTCAGGTCTTACTTCCATCCAATACAGAATACTAGACCAGACCTCCAGTCAATCATCAAACAGGACAAATGCACAAGGCAGCTACTTTTGGCAGTGAATGACAGTAAGAATGAACTATGGAGAGTTGAACCACTAACTCTCATCCTAGAGGCCATATTTGGATCCTGCAGACACAAAGTCCCAGTGAGAGACAGGGGCAGAGGCAGAGGCAGAGACCAGACTCTGAGGCTATAGCAGTGGCAAGAATCAGCAGAGCTGGGCCCTCAATAGGCGAGGCTTCCTTGTGGGTTTGTAGCTAAGAACTAGGTTACTCACACAAAGACTGTGGCCATCTGAGGCTTGCCAGACAAGAGTGAGAATGCAATCCATATTTTCTAGGGGAAGAGCCAGCCCAAGACACCTGAGCTTGGCCTTCCCAGAACACCTCCTTGATGTGCCCTCCTGGGGCACACAGAAAGGCTACACCTCAGGCCTCACCCATCCTAACCACACCCAAAGCCAAGAACCAACACAATTGGCTAGAGCAGAATGTGGAAGCTGAATCCTGCCAAATTAGAAGGTTTAGGAAACACTTCAGACTTCCTTCAGATCTATGATTTGTTAACACAAAAATGCAAGTTTACATGAGCTCATTGCACTCTGCCTCCTGCAACAAGAAGCCATATTCTTCTGGAAAAGACAGAGAAATCTGCACGGGCTCTGCAATGTATATTCTCCACAGATATGGTACTCAATCAAAACATCACTACTACACAAAGGGACCAGAAAACATGACCAATGTTAATGAAAAGCAGTCGATAGTAACTGAACCCACACTGGTTCAAATACTGGACTTGGTAAGCTTCAAAACAGCTAGCTATAAAAAAGACTAGAAAGAAAAGCAAATACACTTAAAGAATTAAAGGAAAATATATCTTTTAAAAGTATCTTATTTGGGTACTGGAGAGATGGTTTAGCAACTAAAAGCACTCATTATTCTTGAGAGGACCTGGGTTCAGTTCCCAGTACCCACATGGGAGCTCACAACTGCCTGTAACTCCAGTTCCAGGGGATCTAACACTCTCTTATGACCTCTGTGGTTCCAGGCAAACATATGTGCACATATAAACAGGCAAACACTCATACATAGAAAATAAATAAATAATCCTTAAAAAAAAAAAAAAAAGGTCTGGGGACAGCCAGGTGCTGGTAGTACGTGTGCACCTTTAATCCCAGCACTTGGCCCTTGGGCAGGCTGATTCCTGTGAGTTTAAGGCCAGCCTGGTCTACAAAGCAAGTTCCAGGACAGCCAGGGTTACACAGAGAGAAACCCTGTCTCGGAAAAAAAGACAAATAAAGGGGCTGGGGAGATAACTTAGTTGGCAGGACTTGCTGCACAATCATGGGTCCCTTAAAATTATACAAAATTAAGCTTTAAAAAGTGATATCTGGAAGCCAGACAGTGGTGGCGCATGCCTTTAATACCAGCACTTGGGAGGCAGGGGCAGAAGGATCTCTGTGAGTTTGAGGCCAGCCTGGTCTACAGAGTGAGTTTCAGGACAGCCAAGGCTACACAACCCTATCTCAAAAAGAAAAGAAGAAGAAGCAGAAGAAGAAGCAGAAGAAGAAGCAGAAGAAGAAGCAGAAGCAGAAGCAGAAGCAGGAGAAGGAGAAGGAGAAGGAGGAGAAGGAGAAGGAGAAGGAGAAGAAGAAGAAGAAGAAGAAGAAGAAGAAGAAGAAGAAGAAGAAGAAGAAGAAGAAGAAGAAGAGAGTGATATCTGGGGCTAGGGAGCCAGGAGCAGTGGCTGGTGCCCACAGCCCCAGCACTAGGTGGAGAAGACGTGGATAAGAGGATCCTAGTGGCTGTCTGGCTGCCAGTCTAGATAGTTGGTGAGCTCAGTTTCATTGAAACACCCTGGCTCAAAAGATGAAGAGCAAGAGAGAAAGACACTGGACATCTACCTCTGTATACCCAACAGTACACCTATATACACAAATGACAAGCCCATACACACATATATGTGCGCGCACACACAACAATAACAAGAAATGGCAATCTACTTAGGCTGCCATGGCAGTATATTCTTCTGTACTGCCTTTTGGATTTTTATATGTGACCAGCTGGATTCTGCAATGATGGTCTCCTATCTGTAACCTCTGGGAGCTGCTCTGTGAGTACAGTGTTAGATACCTGCATGTGGTAAGGCAAGGCTTCATATGAATGTAACACCATTACCCAAAGACAGTTTTGAAGAAAAATCTCCATCCCAGTGAAACAGCACAGTAACTTGCTAAACCACCTGGAATGTTTTATAAAGACACAAATTCCTAGGCTATAGTCTGGGGTGGTGATACACACCTTTGAGCCCAGTACTCAGGAGACAAGAGCAGATGAACCTTTATGAGTTCAAGGCCAGCATGCTCTACACAGTGAGTTCTAAGACAGTCAGGACTACATAGTGAGACTATGTCTCTTGTTGAAGCATTTCCCCAGATGTGATAGTTCATTTTGACTGTCTACTTGATGGGATTAGGATCACTGTGGAATGTCTGTGAAGGCTTTTCTAGACTGGGTTAGAAGACTCACCCTAAATATGATAGCACCATCCCATGGGATGAATCCCGGACTGAATAAACAGGAAGCTGAGCATCAGTTTCAACTTTCTCTGCTTCCTGAGTGTGGCTGCAACCTCCTGTCACCTTAGCCTCCCTGTACAAGAGGCTGTACTCTTCAACTGTGACCTAAGATAAACCCCTTGCCTCCCTCAACTTGCTTTTGACAGGTATTTTTTGGCAGCAGTAAGAACAGTAACTAAGACACCAGGTGACTGTGAAGATGAACAGGTCTGACCTACAATAGTGCAGACAGATCAATCATCTCTCTCCTGCCACATCCCTTTCTCCCTTTTTTGAGAAAGTCCATTATTATTCTGCTTCTCCAAATCTGAACTATGAACTGGCATGGCTGGCTTTAGCACAAACCCTAGAACAGATCTTTGGTTACCTGGAACATCTCATTGATTCCCTCTCCAGTTTGTGCTGATGTTTCAAAGTACAGGAACCCCTTGCTTTCAGCCCAAAGACGGCCCTCACTTTCATCGATGCAGCGGTGTTTGGTGCAGTCAATCTGAAACAGAAAGTAGGGAGGGGGCTGAGAGAAGGTCCATCCTTGACCCAATTAGACCCAGTGAAGCCTTCATCACCAAGCCTCAAGCTATGTATAAAAGTACCAGTCTAAACAGAACCAAACATCAGAAACCAAATTGACTGGATTTCTGTCTAATTTAGGTTGCATCTGCCACTTCCTCCCATGGGAAAGCAGCTGCTATATACATCTGTAAAAGTTACATCATGACCTGCCCTACCCAAGGGGCTATTTCCTGTTGCCATGATCCCACCAGATCAAGCTATAAATATCAGGCTTTTCCCAGACTGCTTCCTCAAGCTGTACACAAAGGAAAAAAATGAATAAAAATTCAGTTAGAGTAGGTTTTCTGGTTTTTGTCTCAGAGACATGTTTTCAATGGCTACCAATTACTGATTTCTATGTCACAAAATAGCACCTCCTCCATTGTACATGTATGTGCACGTGCATCTATGCTTGAAGACTGAAGACAGGTCTCACTAAGCCGCCCAGGCTGGCTTGTACTCTCTACATAGCCCAGCTGGCCTCCAGCGCATAATCCTCCTGCTTTCAGTCCCCAAGTCCTGGGATTCCAGGCTGAGCCACATATCCAGCTCGTTCCTTCTGTGTCCTCAAATGCATGGCTGGGCTAACAAACCAATTCAAAGCAGTTACCTTGTTGGCACATACAACAAAGATGATATTGTCCATGTTCCCGTGAGGCCCAAGCTCCTGCTTCATTTCTGCCAGCCAGGAATCAAGGGCATCAAACGAGTCCTTCTGTCCCACATCATAGACCAGTATCACGCCTTGTGTATCCTTGTAAAATTCGTTTCGGACCTGCAGATGGAAGAAGAGAAGCACAAGGTGTTGGCTCTGTGATTTTTGTAAGAATGTACCTCATAGCCATTAATTCAACAAAATGTGTCTTTTCTTGTATTTGGAGTATTCATTGTTATCTCAGTATTTAATGGCTTTTAGAGGACTTCATATAAAATCAAAATGAAACAAACAAATCTGTAGGTCAAGAGAATTTTCTAGCAGGAAATAGATCATAGCCCCTCAGAAGCAACACTCTGTAGCTGTTGGTAGACTCGGAAGATGGCCGTGTCAAGATCTCCTCAGGAAGGTAGGCAAACAGTGAAAGGGAACATAAAGCAAGGTGACACAATTATGAGCAATGGCTGCCACCACACAGACATCACAGCCCAGAGCTTACCCAGCATTCCAGGCAGAGCTTCCTAGACTCGGCGCCCAGTGTAATCAGACAGGACAGTAAGGAACACCGCTGAGCAGCAGGCAGCTCTGGGTCATGTCCACTAGAAGTTGTGTGACCTTGGGCAAATCACATAAGCCCTCTGTACTTCCTATCTGTAAAAGGGGATCGCAGCACTAGGACTAGGTGAGGTCAGGGAGGCAGCACACTTAGCATGGCGCCTGGAAAACAATACACACAAGTTCCTTCTCTCTTCTTTCCATTCTGACTGTCCCAAGATAACATCAGAAATGACAAGCTGCCGCTGGGACTGTTCTGAAAGACTTGACAAGAAGTGCAGGTGCACTCAAGTGGCAGAGGCAATGAGAGCCGGGTGGGCTGGGAGGAACCTTGACAGAGAACACAGCTTTATGTTCTTTTCATAAGATCCCCACATGCACTGGGCCTCCTCACTCTAGCTAAGTATTCAGAAGTGAGAAAGCGGGGGTGGTAGAAATGCCTGTTACAGCAGCACTCAGGAGGCTGAGACAGTGATTGTGAGTTTAAAGCCAGCTTAGGTTAGTGAGTTTGAAGCTAGTCTGAGCTATTAATAAAACCCAAAGCGGGGAGGGGGCATTTATCTTTCACACTGGGAATGGGCTTCTAAACACTGACAGAAACCTCGACCAAGAACATAAGGGTCTATCATTAATTTAGAGAAACCTAAGGACAGTCCACCACAGTAAGAAATGTCAAAAGCGGAAGACATTTACGATGATGATTGCAGTTGTTTGAATAAGAATGGCCCCCATACACGCATGTATTTGAACACTTACTCTACTTGGGAGGGATGAGGAGGTGTGGCCTTGCTGAGGTTGGTATGGTCTTGTTGGAGTATTTGCTGTTCTTGCAGAGGACACTGATTTAACTCCCATCACCTACATAGTTTATAACATTTACAACTCCAACTCTAGGAATTAAACAGCCTCTTCTGACCTCTAAGGGTAGCAGGCAAAGCACAGACGTACATGCGAATATAGAATATTCATATGTATCGTCTACCAACTCCTTTTCTCTGCCTTTGTCTACTATTAACGTTCCCGAATCCTGTCCAGGGCCCTCTTCCTTTCTAAATCTTCCTTTCTTTACAATTGGGGACCATCAACCATCTGCACAGGGTCTACTGTGACAGTCTCCAAGATCAGCCTGTTCCCCCATCCCCTCACCCCCATTCAGCTTCCTTCCTCAGCAAAATGTCTCGTTGAACTTTGACATGGAGACGCTAGTGATAAGGTTGAAGGCCCAGCGTCCACCTCTGCTCTCTCCAGCAGATTCACGGTCCTGTGGACCATGTCTGCAGGCTTCTCCACCTGTCACTCCCTTCCATGCACAGTCTACACAGACTACACTGCTGCAGTCTTCCAAGCTGACTTTCCAGCACCTTGGCACACGATATAACTTATCTTTTGAAAGTCTTGGCTCAAAATTCCCCAGTGTCTCCCCCCCCCCCATGTCCTCCAAAGTCCAACCTCATTTAAATGGGAATACAGGGTTGGGTTTTGTTTTGTTTTCCTTTTTTTAACGGGTGGTTAGGGGATTCAAGACAAGGTTTCTCTAAATAACCCTGGTTGTCCTGGTATCCACTGTGTAGATTGAACTCACTGCCTCTGCCTCCCCAGTGCTGGGAATTAAAGGCAAGCACCAGCACCACCCAGCTGAACTTGTTTTTCTTAATCTATACAATCCACCTTTAAGGAAGGTGTCACATGACTGTACAAAAAGTTCTGATGTAGTCATGACCAATCTTTCTTTAGCTTACTTTGTGCTTTATTACGCACACAAGATTGAGTTAATTATCACCAAGGAAGTTTTCACCAAACTGTACTGTGCTTAAACATGCCTAAAATAAACTACTCAGGGTCCTAAAACTTGAACCAACACCAGCTACTGAGTAGTGTTTTTTTTTCCTTTAAAGATTTATTTTATGTAGATCTGCATGTATACCTGCATACCAGAAAAAGGCATCTGATCTCACTACAGGTTGTTGTGAGCCACCATGTAGTTGCTGGGAACTGAACTCAGGTCCTCTGGAACCACCATTGTCCTTAACCTCTAAGCCATCTCTCCAGCCATACTGAGTCATTTTGAACTGAAATGCCTTCTTGCCTCCTGTGGATTGTTGCTCTGCTGGCTGTGGTGGTCACAGAAACCAGTGTGGCTCAGTGAGTAAAGCACCTCCTGCTAAGCTCGATGGCCTTAGTCCAATTCCCAAAAGCTACATGGTGGAAAGAGAGGACCAACTCCCCAAAACTGATCTTCCTATATACAAGCAGAGGTGTGAACACACACGCACACACACACACACACACACACACACACACACACACACACACACAAGAGCATGGCATTCACATGTCCACACATATACACATAAATAAATGTAATTTTTAAAAATCAAAAATAGTGGAACAGCAAAAATCACCCAGTTGGAGTAGGGTGTGTGTGTGTGTGTGTGTGTGTGTGTGTGTGTGTGTGTGTGTGTGTGTGTATACACATGTGCCTGTGGGGGTCTGGGAATGAATTAACAGGGATTCATGGACCTATTGGGCTAACAGATCAATAAGAAGAAAAACAGCTGAGAAAGACCTCAAATGAAGAACGGGCAGCATGAAAATAAAGCAGGGAGGAAGAAGGAAATAGCAACGACAAGGGCCCATGTGAAGTGGCAGCCAGCAAAGAGGTCACTAATAGGGAGTGTGCATTCGTCCAAGGACTGTTTCACAGATGAACACACGCCAAGCAGGGTTGCTTCACCTTACTCCAGGGAAGCAGCATGGCTGGGGAGTGACAGGAAGGTCACACTAGGCCTTGCTGTGAAAGAAGTGGCTTTGCTAAGCTGTTGTATCCAAAGGAGACTGTGATTGTTATCTGCTCACACTCTGGGCTGAAGTCTGAAGTGAAAGTAGGAAATGTCTATTCATTCAAACGTTTGAAACTTCCCATCTCCGTTCCAGGTGAGCATAGGCAATCAAGGAGTATCCATTAAATTGAGGCTCAAAGGGCAAACATGAGCTAACTTTACCCATGACTTGAATTAACTCCACAGGAGGCTTTCTTACCTCATAGAAGAAGGGATGTCCAGCCATGTCAAAGATGTTAACTTTGATTTCTCTGTCTCTGACTTGGACCCTGAAATATTCAAACAGAAACAATCTCAAATGTTGTGCTTTTGTGATGACATTTCTGTTATTTATGGACTTTCAAAAAAAAACATCGACACATTTCCAGAGACTTTCTTCACTCTTTTCTTAACTCCAGATAATTACAACAGAAGCCTGCTGTCTTGCTTTACAACACTGAGCCCTGACTAAAGATCCATCCTCCACCTCAGATAACTGAGTCCATATCCCTGAACCAGCAAGCTGCCCCCACCTGCAAAGGGATCATCCCAATTGAGCCTGTTGACTGTTTCTGTCCCCTCATGGGGGTGGAGGGTCATGAGACCTTCACTGGAGTATCCAGGTTCTCCTTACCACCTGCTGTATGTGACTCTGCCTCAAATTGCACATGGTCTTAGGGAGGGACTGGAGTATACAGGCTGGGAAACACAGGGGGCAAGGGATGCTGTCTATGCAGCTATGGAGAAGCCCTCATCCCAGCTGGTAAAGATTTTCTGGTGCAATCTTTTGGAAGAGGAGTACCTACACCACAGGTAGCCCTCACCTATGCTCTGGCTCCCTAGGAGGAACCCTGCCTTGATTTGGCATTGAGACCTTGGGAAGAGGGGTAAACATTGCTATGTCTTCCCTGAGAAGGAATTTTTGCAATACTCATCATGGAATAATCATCTTTTAAAAAAAAAATCTGTAACAAACAGAATAGTCTACTGAGTAATCTAATTCATTCTGTCTCAATAGATAGATAATCAATTCTATGGCATCATACAGCAATGATCATTTCTTGGATAAACCAGGCACTGATAGGCTTCTGAAGTAGGATGTCCCACCACATCCCTGATGAACTCCTGTAGAACATGGGAAAGGAAAAGTACAAAGAAATATGGATTTTAAATGAAGAGCTTCATGACTTTCAGTTAAAAGCTACTAATTTCACACTTTAGGGAAAATGTGCAAAAACACCTTCTGCTGCTCTCAGTTGAAAAACAGCAACAGAATTTACACAGAACTCTTGGGTTCTACTCTGCCACTGACCTGAACAACTTTAATACAGTCCAGAAGGACATACATAAACCTGGCCCTGCCCTTCATACAACTGACATTCTGTTATAGCTATACCTTAACAATTTTATCAGCTTTCTTAATATTGCCTTCTGATAGGAAAAACATTTCATCTTTATGTATATCTATCTAACAAAATTCCCAAGCAGTCACTAGGGAGAAGCACTGTACCAGGCACTTAAAGAAAACATAAAAATCCCTTTTTTATAGCACTCACTTTGGATACAGAGCATTAAAGAAAAAGAAAAGAAAGAAATCAACTTTGACTGACCAGGAAATTCCCTTCTTCCTAGCTAGCTTACACAGTACCAAAAGATGCTGGGGAAGAAAAGAGTTCATAGTCTCCCTCAGTGGAGGACCCTACCTGCCATAATAACAACCTGCCTGCCAAGATATGTCCACTGGTGTAAGAGTGGCATGACAGTTTTGAGAGATTAGATATGAGGCCTTTTGCACAGGAGGGATTTCATGCCTGGCTAAAAGTCATGGCTGGGAGATGACAGATGAGGGGAACTACTGTTGCTTTGCTCAACTGTCATGATATCAAACTGCCTTCTTTATATTCATGCTTACACCATACACTTGCATGGCTCTCAGCTTTGGCCAGAGAAGCTTCTTGTAATGATTAATGTAGAAATGCATGACCGATCAAAGTACCAAATATAAATAACCATGTATGCTTAATTATGGATGAATCATCTATGTCAGCCTCAACCAAGCCAGTTCATCAAGCAAGAGGTGGCAGAAAGAATGAAAAAGCTGGCAGGCAGGGAAGGTGTGAAATGCTGATTTTGGTTATGACATGGTAGCTGTACACATCAACTCACAGCACCTGGGTCACCTGGACAAGACCAGATCAAGCCAGTCAAACCTCCAGTATGGAGAGAGGACCTTGGGGGCCCCCACCCTTGTCAGAAGAGCTACTGGCAAGCGATGGCTGCTGAGACAATGTGGCTACCCACTGGTAGGATGCTCATGGTAGTCAGTGGACAGCCTCACATCCATGCACATATGGAGGTAATGGTGGTGGATATGATCAAAATACATTATAAAAATGTGTAAAACTTTGAAGAATGAATAAAAATATTAACAATAAAACAATATCCCTTTCTCAAAGTCAGGGATATTAAACACACACAAATAACACAAGTACCTTACAGTAAGGTCTGAAATTCCATGTTTAACAAATGTGCTGCTTACCCCAATTCTACTCCTTGGTGGCATTTTTCTTGCTGCTTTAGTCCTCTTTCCAACCATTCTTGGTTCAATTCCAAATAAATACCCACTTATCCCCGACTTCATTATTCTCAGACCTGCTGGATTCCAACATGCTATCAAGATCATAAACTGACAAAAGATAAACAGCCTAAAACCCACTTGCTGATAGGACCTGCTTACACAGAAATCTGTCTTAAGAAATCCACCTGAACAGTTTGGGTTGTGCCTGTGCATCGCTGCCAACCCCACATCTAAAACCAGGTCTGCACCGGCAGATAACTAATACACTGGCTGGCTGAGAAGTTCCTTAGCCCTGTCTTTTCCACTTTATCTGCAAAGCTTCTACTTCAGTGCAGCCTATGCACTTGCTCTGCTGAGTATCTGTGTGATGTGCAGGCCAGAGGGACAATATACTCACTTTGTGACTCCATAGTCAATTCCAATTGTTGCCAGATATTTAGACACAAACCTCTTCTCACAGTAGCGCTTTATAATACAGCTCTAGAAAGACAAATATTCGTGCATTTAGTAATACACACCAGAAAGATGTGTGAAATAAGCACATTTCTTCATTAGGATCTCTTCAGTCACTTCAATGAAGAGTGTTTTCAAATGCAAAAACTAGTGGACAAGGCAGTGGATGCCAGTAGCTGCAGCACTTGAGAAAGAGACTAGAACAGTCAAGAGATCAAGGCCAGCCTCAACCACATGAGACCCTGTCTCAAAAATAAAAAAAAAAAACCCAAGAGACAAAAAAGAAAAAGGCATCAAAATATAAAAAGTGAGGGTTTTATCTGTGGTTTGAGGAAGTCTCACTCCTGGATGACCTGGAACTCACTTCCCTAGTGTTGGGATTAAAGGCATGAACCACCAACCAGGCCACAAATAAAGACCTTAAAGAAAAGAGAATTGAATTCTTACCTTCATACTAAATATGGGTGTTTTCAGTTTTATTCCCAATCACTGTGGTCTTCTGTCCTGCAGACCTTTTCCACCCTCCACTTTCAGCACTACTAAAACATCCATATCTAGCCTTGACTCCCTTCCAGGACCAGATCCAAATGTCTAAGCATCTACTAAATGGTCTCTATTCAAATATCCTGCTATCATCTAATTCAATATGTCTCCAAATAGCCTGTCTTGCTGACATCTAGCTCTGTTAATCATGCCACCATTTCCCCAGCGACAAAGGATCAAATTATTAAAGTCACATTTGATTCAAGGCCCAAGTCTTCAAGTCTACATTATCATTATCCTTAGCGCCAATATCCAAAAACAAATCAACCCCAATTGATGAATAAAATGTATTACATCCAGATGATGGCATATATTTCTATGATATGAAGAACATATATCATAACAACGATTTACCTTATACAAATTATACTAAATGAAAGAAGTCTGTAGTAAAAGATTATATAGTATGTGACTCCATTCACATGAAATATACAGAATAGGCAAATCCATAGAGGCAGGAAGTGGGTTAATGGTTATGGGAAACAGGGGGAGCCTGTTAATTGCTATGTTGTTCTCCTGGCCCCTAGGGGATGATGAAAATGTTCTACGATTGATCATAGTAATGGTTTCTTAACTGAGAATGAACTGAAAAATCATTGAGTTGTATGTTTTAAATAAGTGATTCTAAGTGAATTATTATCACATGAAGGCTTTTGTCTTAAATTTAAATTTTATCTTTAATTGTGCGTATGTGTGTATGTCTGTGGCTGTGTACACGAGAGTGCAGGTGCCAATGGAATACAGAGGAGGGAGTTAGATCTCTCGAGCTGGGATACAGTCAGCTGTGAGCCACCCTATCTGACACAGGTGCTGGGAACTGAATGCTGGTCCTCTTCAAGAGTAGCAAGTGCTTTTAACAGCCGAACTCTCTCTCTCCAGCTTCACTAAAGCTTTTTTAAATCAAGAATTTTTATGGTTATAAGTTATTTACAATATTTCCTCCTCCAATTTGATTGTGTGTGTGTGTCTGTCTGTCTGTCTATAAGTATGTACTCAATGTCAGAGGAGGACTTTTAGAAATTTGGAAAAAAGGTTCTCTCCTCCTACTGTGAGTTCTGGGGACTGAATGAGGTCATCAGGCCTACACAGCAAGGGCTTTTACACCAGGCCACCCCCAAACCCTAAGGGCTTACTCCTTTCTATTCTGGAAACTTGAGGTTTCTCAGCAACCCTTGTTTATATTCAATTCAACTTCTTGCATTGACAATCAATGTCCAAGTTCTATCTACACAGAAATCCAAAATTTAGGTAGAAAGGGGAATTTTAATTAAGTGCATGGATGTCAATCTTCAGTGGCCACCCACCTTTCTCTTTGAGACAAGGTCTCTCTCAGGACCTTGGGCTTGCTGATTAGGCCGGTTGGTCCCTGAGCCCCAGGGATCCACCTGTCTCTGCCTGCCCAGCACTGGGATTAGAACCCTGTGACACTGTCAGGCTTTTGCAGGGGTTAGCAGTATAGAACTGCTTTCCATGTTTGCATAACACCAACTGAGATATATTCCCAACTTTCTTTGCTTTTTAAAAGAGAGTTGGAACATAATTAATAGTCAATAAATATTAATTCCAGCTGAAGTTTTGTTACCACATACACGATACTTAAGTAGTGTGTGGCAGGGGAGCTAAACAGTAAACACTAAATAGTCATTGAACATCTAAGTGCAGTGCACTGGTTTTAATACTCCATTAGTAGGTCTTCTGCATTTGGGAGAGTATAGGCTCAGCTTTTAGTCCCCTCCCTGTCACTAATTTGCTGACCTTGGGATTCTTAACCTAACCAACAGCTTCCGCTCATTAAGGGAGAAAACTTAAGAATAGGCATCTCAATTCATTTGGGAAAAAGTCTTGGGTCACCGCTGCCCATAGGACAGCAAGTTTAATAGCTAGCTAATATGCAGCAGATGAAGCACACGGAAAGACGGTACCATAAATAAATAAATAAATAAATAAATAAATAAATAAATAAATAAATAAATAAATGGCTTCTCTGAGAAAATGGACGTGACAGTAGCAGAAATTTAATACAAAAACAACGGAGGATCCTGGGCGGCCAGTGAATTCATTGGGTTGCTATGTTCTCTGCCCGGCTACAATTTTCTTAGTCTATCACCTCACAGGCATCCCTTTAAAATGTACAGCTAGGAGGCATCATCGACTCTCCCCATCCTCATGTCTTGGACCCCTCTCTCGGAAAACAAATTTGGTATCTATGCTTTAAATTTGGAACTTAGGCCTCCTTACTACCTTCAAATTAGTCAAAGGTCAAAGGCCACCCCAGGCACCGTCTTAAGGACAGTGGCATCAGTAAAGAGCGTGCACCCCAAAGGTCAAAAAGGTCAACATAGTTTTCCTCTCGAGGCCACAAGCACGGGTGAGCATAGAGATGCAACGGGAGCAGGGAAGAGGCGGGGCTTCGGGCTGTTGAGTGGCCTCTCTCTTAGCCAATGGGCATGACTTTCTGGCACGCAGAGGTCCCGCCCCTCCCAGCATGCGATACTTACTTTCCCCACTTCGGCGTTGCCCATGGAGATGACTTTGATGCGGAGGGACTTGGCTGGCTCCTTCCGCTTCGGCACGTTGGCCTCCATCGCCCTCACTGTGCCGAGGCTGTCGGTTCCGGTGTCCTTATGCACCCAGCCAGCCCGTCCCTCAGGCCTCCTTGCCCAATAGCGGAGCTGCTGCGCTCGTCACCGCCCTTGCTCCTCGGCTCGCCATCCCCACCGCTGCCTGGACGGACGGACGCGGGCGTTTGGGAAGCGGCGAGCCGCGGAGGACGAGCCGAATCTCGCGATGACAGCGCGCCGTGACGTCATTGCGGGGCTCGGGAGAACCCGGGCTTGGGGGTCCCGGTGGGCCGGTGCATCGCGGGCTCCTGTAGGAGATCGGGGTTTCTGTGCTTGGCCCCAGGGTTGGTCTACACTTAGTGGCAGAAATACAGTGGCTGTCACGGGGAGTTTCTGAAATTTAGTTTAAGGCCCAGCCACGCCAAAAACTCTAAGCAAACCGTGACCTTTTCCCCCCCTCGCCATTAATAATGGAGTGACAGTTACCCCTCAGTTTCTGCAGGGCACTGATCTCACGATCGTGGTAGATTCTACGATGTTCCAGTCACGTTGAGATGGTGTAAATTAGCAGATCCCGGCTTTGATCCCGGCACTCAGGAGGCAGAGGCAAGCGGATCTCTATGTGTTTTAATGCCAGCAGGGCTATCTAGTGCCATCCTGTTTCAGACAAACGAAAATAAATACATAACCTTTAGGTAGCCGTATAATCTTATGTAACGTATGCACATCCTCAGCCTACGGTAAATCACCTCTATGGTAACTGGACTGCTTACTGTCTTTAGGTCACTATTGCTGCGAAGAAACACCATGATCAAAGCAACTTGGGCTTAACTTGCCTTACACTTCCCTATCCTTGTTCATCATCTAAAAAAATTAGGGCGGGAATTTAGAGGCAGGAGCTGATGCCAGCGGCGGGGGGGGGGGGGGGGAGAGTTCAGTGTACTGGCTTGCTCCTCCAAGCTTGTCCAGCCTGTTTCTTATAGAAGCCAGGACTGCTAGCCAGGGATGGCACCACCCACTATGGGCTGGGCCCTCCCGCATCAATCACTAATTAAGAAAATACCCTACAGGCTTGCCCACAATCTAATGTTATGGAGGCATTTTCTTAATTGAGGTTCCCTCCTCTGAAAGGACTTTTAGTTTGTGTCAAGTTGACACAAAACTAGCCAGCATAACTACCCAGTACAAGGTAAATGCTATTATTATGTAAATAGTTGTCATTCTATATTGTTTCCCTTTAGGGAATAATCACACAGAAAATCTACATGTTTAATCATAATCGTTGTCTTCCACTAGCTTCCTGTTCCTGGTTATTTTTCATGGAATATTGCTTCAATCTGCAGACAGCCTTCCAGAACAGAGGGCCATCTAAAATGTTTCTTTTGCTCATCTAAGAAGGTGGTGTCAAGAGATGAGAAGTGGGCATCAGGTCATGGTTCTGGAAAAGGACCTTAGAAAACAGTTGCTTTTTGAAGCAAAGGCAGGGTCTCAGTTTGCTCCTCTAGCATTGGTCTGATGGCCTCGTTCTTGGGAGGAAAGTTCAGGCTGGATGTTTCTTACGTTTTGTTCAGCCCCATGAAAATGTATGATTATACCTGTAGCCTCTTCTGACTGCTTCTGAAATGTACTGTTAACACAGCATCCATTATCTTGTCTTAGCTGACCAAATAAGGTAGAATCATAAAATCTGTGGCAACCTGTTCTCAGAGAAGCAGGAAGTAACCATTTGAGTGAAAGTCTGTCTGACACAGTGTTTCTTTCATCAATGATTTCACCTAAAGATGTAAACAGAACTTAACAAATGGTTATCCAGTGCTCAGGGACAAGATGGCTGCCAATTTCTCAGTGATCACAATGGTGAAGGTGGCTTCTCTTCTGCCACCACAGGCTTTAAACATCTTAAAACATGTTTGGGGAGAGAGAGTGAAGGCAAGAGTTGTCAATAAATGTTTAGGTCAGTTTTCCAGTGTGAAAACATTAAATGCTTTTTAAGACATAGATACAACTTGCTCTGATAATTGACATGCAATATGTGGCCATGGGAAGGACTGTAGGAGTTGATGAGTGAATACTCATGACTTCATGACTGGGGGGACTAGGCCCCAGGACCCTCGTGGTTATGTAAATCTACAAACCCCCAGTGCCCAATGTAAGTGGCACAGAACTTGCATGTAGTCTAGGCTTGTTCTCTCATACACTTTAAATTGCCTGTAGATTATTGATAATAAATAAGGCAATATAAATGCTGTGTAAACAATTGTACAATAGCTACAAGAAAAAAGTTTATGTTCAGTACAGATGTACTCTTTTTTTTCCCCCCTAGATGTTTTCAATCTGTAAACTGTTCAGTGCATTGCTATGAAATCCAATTACAGATGGTGGGCCATTGTGCCTGGGGATCTCTCAGCAAACAGTAGCTGTCTGCTTAAGTTTACTTGTGTATTTTGTTTTTCTGTAGTAATAAGAGTCTACTAATTTTTTCTTTTGAGATACAGTCTCATGTAACACAGGCCAGCCTCAAACTCACGCAGCTGAAGATGGCCTTGCACTTCTGACCTTCCTTCCTCTCCTCCGAGTCTTAGGATTGCAGATATTGCCACCAAACCTGGTTTTATATAGTGCCAGGGATCTGAACCCAGGGCTTTGTGTGTGCTATGTAAGCATTCTCCCAACTGAGCTATATTCTCAGCCCTTTAAATATGTGCTTTAAAGCGAAATTTGAAATATTTGGGCATATTTGAAGGTATAAGGAATAGAGTTGGGCATGGTGGCACATACCTTGAGGCAGACAGATCTGTATGGGTTTGAGGCTGACCTGGTCCTTGCCAAGTTCCTGACCAGTCAGGGATATACAGTGTGACCTTGTCTCGAAAAAGAATGAATGGTACCTGGTGTGGTGGCACAGGTATTTAATCCAAGCACTTAGGAAGCAGAGGCAAGTGGATCTCTGTGAGTTCAAGGCCAGTTTGGTCTCAAAAAAAAAAAAAAAAAAAAAAGAAAGGAAGGGAGAAAGGGGGAAAAAGGGATATTCAGGTGTCTGCTACCCATATAAGGAAGTAAATTCAAAACCTCACTGTCACTGTGTGGGTCTTTCCCAGTCCTTCCCTCCTCCTCCTCTACAAAAACCTGTAGCTACCTGCACTAGTGTTTTCAATTTCCAGACATTAACTGTTTAAATGAACATTTAATGTAACTTAAGGTTTATTGTTGCATTTCATCTTTGAATTTATTTTGATCCAGGTGGTGGTGGCACACAACATTAATCCCAGAACATGGAGCCAGAAACAGACAGATCTCTGTGAGTTTGAAGCCAGCCTGATTCTACAGAGCAAGTTCCAGGACAGCCAGGGCTGTCTCAAAAAACCAAAACCAAATAAATATTATTTTAAAATAATTTAATGAAGAAAAAATTTTAGGAACAGCATAAAAATAAATCTTATAGATCTTTCTAAAGCCATCAGTTGTTAAACATCTCAATCCATTTGCTTTGTACGCTGTGTTCCCTATTTGTACATATCTGTATGCACATTTTCTCAGTAATTTGAAATTAATTTGCAAAATTTTTAAATCAATGAATACTTCAATATTTCTAAGAACAGGAACTTTCTCTTACATAGCAGTAATACTAGTAGTATTACTGCTTCCAAACCTGGCAACCCGAGTTCCATCCCCAGGACCAGTTAGAAATGATTCAGAATGGGTTAGAATGGAAGGTGTCAGGTCCCCGGTCTGCTCCCCATCCACTATCCATCACCCACCCTGGGGACCAGGACCTGAGACCTGCCACCTGAGTTCCCAACCCATTATTCTTTATTCCAGAAGGTGGAAGGAGAGAACCAACTCCCACAAGTTGTCCTGTGATCTCCATACAGAAGCTGTGGCATAAACACTCACACACAGGCAGGCACACAAAACATAAAAGGATTTTTGAAATTAGGTAAGACAACATTTAAACAGCATTAATATATGGTCCCATGCTTCTCAGACTACGTTGAGATCTCCACAGTCCCACGGTGAGTTTACGGAGGGATATCTGTAAGGTTCCAAATTTTCAAAGCAAATAAAATTAATGTAGAAACAAACTGCAAAAAACAAACAAACAAACAAAAAAACAAAACAAACAAAAAACCCTGCTTTGGTGCTGTTTGCAATTCCAACAGTAGATGGTGCCACATCCCTTGTATATGTCATATTGGAGTTTTCAGGCAGTAGTCAGTGCTTGCTGCAGTTTACCTGTGTGAGCTTTTGGGTGGCTACTAAATTATTAGAGTATGGATACTTACTGAGTTGTTTGCACCTCAGTATTTCTTTGGGTCAGCACACAATGTGAAGAAAGAGAGAGAAAGAGAGATTTTAAAGCCACCATTAATAAGAAAGCTAGGAAAGCTTGACTTAATACATAATTCATCCTCAAATTTTGTGCTTTGACCCAATAATGTTTGTTTGTTTGTTTGTTTTTTGGAGGGGGGAGTCAGGTGTCTTCCTCCTGTACAGTTCTCCATCTTACCTTTTGAAACAGGATCTTTCACTGAACTGGCTTACTGACTGGCTAGACTTACTGGCCAGAAAGCCTATATAGCCTATAAACATACACAGAGAGAGACTATACACACAGACACAGACACACTCCTTTCCTATATCTCCACCATTTCTGAGCATTTCCTTGCTTTTAGCTATAACAGGCCGTTCCTGACTCCTTGTATCCTTATCAAGCAGTTCTGGACTTAGACCCGGTTTTTAGGTGTGTTCACTGATACCAACATGTCTCTGCTTTGGGCTCCTCCAGTTGACATCTAAATCTATATTTTAAAACACACCGACATGCATTTCAATCTAACAGATTGTGCTATCCCTCTCATAACTATGCTCTCCTTGCAGTGTGAAGCTAGCTTCCACTGTCCTCAGCATATTTAGTTACGTGCAATACATAGAAAGTGTTTTCAGAATTGCTAACTCACCATTTCAAAAAAGAAAATACTAGAGCTAGCATTCAGTACTTATTTACAACTCTTTTCATCCTCAGCTGACAGATAGATACCATTGTCAGGTATGCTCTCAGGGTAGCAGTTTATTTCTCTTCCCTTCAATGTGACTTCGGATTTCTTTGAAATAGAGTTGGGTAAGGGGCTGGAGA